GAGTGCCTTGCTTCCGGACAGCCGTCCGATCGACAATTCAATGGTTGTAGATCTTGGGGTCCACACTTGCGCTGATCTTGAGGCCGTCCTCGCCGCTGCCCGACCATCCGATGCGCAAGGCACCCTCCTAGTCGGGCAGAGGATCTCAATCCGGATGATACCCTCTATTTTTATGGGTGCCATATAACTCATCAAAAAACTTTTACAATAATGATATATCTTTTTTATTTAATTAACTGTGATATGTGCCTATTCCGTCCTCCATTATCAGAAGCAAGAAAAACATCCATCCCCGTGCATGGTATTTGGTTCTAAATTTAGGCCTTTTACAACTTGGGTTAGGAATTAAACTCACGCATGCAACACGAAGAACAATTAAAGAACACACGAAATTTGGTAACCCAGTTCGCCACGAATGACTACGTCTGGGGGCGCTACCAAGCCAGAAATATTATTTCTATTTTCGGATCCACACACAATCAGTGGCGGAGCCAGAAATCTATGATTAAAGGGGCCGGTCCTTAAAAATTTTACATTGTAGAGGCCATACTTTGAAATATCAGCACATTTTCTACAGATTAAATGTATTTATACATATTATTTACTTAAGAATTTTTTTCTTGCAGGGAACGAGGCCCCCTCCAGCCCCTCCCTGTCTCCACCCCTGCACACAATGATTACAAGGGAGAGAGTTTGTATTTATAGAGAAGTAAATCCTAACCCCAAGGCAACTAGAATGTGTTTCCTAAAATAAATTAAGAAACATGTTTCCAAAAATAAATTAAGAAATTGTCTCTAACACCTTACAACTTGTAGTCCAAAATAGTTATTTTGGACTCCAGTGTTCTTACATTGAGGGCTAAAAGGGTAGAAGAGAATGTGTTAAAAATAGACCAATTTTGGCACCCCAAAAGAGACTTGGAGTCATGTTTCTCAGTATTATTGAGAAAAAAGCTAAAGGTACCCCAAAATGGGGTACCCATTTGTCCCCCATCCTAATGGGTGGCCATAAATGAGGCAACTCATTTATGTGGGGCACCACTTAAATGGGTTGACTCATTTATGGCCACCCATTAGGACATCCTTATTCATAGGATTATTTAGAGATTACTTTGATGATGTGAATGATACTTTTTGAGATTATGAATGAGATGTTGAGATTATTTGAAGAGATTATTTGATAAAAAAATCTGGTATCAAATTCTAAAACTAGACTATTTGAAGATTATTTCCAACTGTTAAGCTCTTCTTTCCATTTTCTAGGCACACTCATAATTAAGGTGATGAATAGGCTTATGTACTCCAAAGTCCAAACGACGAAAATGTTTAAACTGCATGCACTACGAATTGTAGATAATTAAAAGTACTATCCTTTGTTATTAAAAAAGCATTATCTGTTTGTTAAAAAATTACTACCTCCGTCCCCCTAAGTTTAGGACAGAAGAAAGTGACACAGTTATTAATAAAAGTGGGTTTATGTGGTTGATATTAAATTAATAAGGTAAGAATAAAGTAAGAATGCTTTAGAACCACACAAATTTTACCATATAAGGTATGAGACAATCTTAGTGGGACGGACCTAAAAGGTAAAATGAGACAATCATAGTGGACGGAGGGAGTAATTGCCACTATCCGTTGTTAAATTAAATTGCATGCACTAAGTTGAAGTGTCGAATTGAACTTTCAACCTAAAAAACGTGTACCCACTAAATAACATAGTTAGTTAAATACGGTACGGCGAAACCAACAATATAGCTTTTACAGAGAAATGTCCAAAAACAGATTTACAAAAGCAGATTTAAAGAAATATCGAGAAGCTAAAAACAGAGTGTTTCTTCACGGTTCTTTTTCGACAAAGATCAGTACTCGATCGGCTCTGATACCAGTTGTTGGTCCCGAACAATGAGATAAACGAATAGCTAAATGAATTCTATGATAATATGAAGAAGGATTCTTGATAATGATCGAGAAATATTCTGAACAGAAGAAATCCTTACTCTATACTATCGAGAACTTTGGAAAAGGGAAAGGCTGTATTCGAGAACTATATTGCTGAAATATATGGTGATTATTCGGTCCTGTACCACATGTACGCATATTTATAGGCGTAGGTACATGTACCGAAATGATAACCTAGAATTCTGGGCCTAAGATCTTTTTGGGCCATATTCCCATAAATGGTTTACTCATTGCATAATAATAAATGCTATTAAAGGTAAAATCTATTCTAACTAAATAACAAGACATTTGACAAACTTGATCACAATAAATATTTTCCTCAACAGCTTTTAAACTATTGTTGATCATCCATGTATTTAACGTGTTCATTCAATTGATAAATTCATGTTTCTATTTTTAGTAAAAAAATACGGGAAAAATACGTTTTATACGGGAAGTAGGAGTTTTTTCCTTTTTTAAACGGACCAACATTATTTTTTCGTTTTAAACGTGTTTTTTTGTTCAAAAAAACGGTATGTGTTTAAAACGCGTTGAAAACAGGAAAAAGCTAACTAGGCTAAATAAGTTGAACTATTGAACGTTGGACATAAAAAAAATCTACCTAATAACAATTGTATAAAAATAATTTTTTATTAACTTAATGGTGTAAAATATTTTACATACAAGGTACTAAATGTACAACCTAAAAGGTAGTGTACGTACTAAATGTATATAATGACGTTCATTTTTTTTAAGTGGTATAATTTTTTAAATGGTGTACGTACTAAATGTATATACTCCCTCCGTCCCGAAAACAACCTCCCGGTTTGACTTTCACACACTTTTAGAAAATAAATTTGACTTTATTGTAGAGTGCACTGTTTTGCACTGTTTAAACACTGTTTGGCAGTGCTTAAACACTGTTTGACACTGTTGGCACTATTTAAACACTGTTTGGCACTGTTTAAACATTGTTTGACACTGTTTAAACACTGTTTGACACTGTTTATCACTTTTTTTATGTAGATAATTTGCCAAATAAGGAAAGTATTGAAGTGTGAAGTTAATTTTGTGACATCCATTTAAGGAAAGTGGGAAGTTGTTTTTGGGACGGGGGGAGTATATACTAAGTATATTGTGTCCATGTGGAGTGCATGTGGGTGCGTGAGTGCGTTTAAGTTAGGGATTTTAAAATTGAGTGCATGTCTCATAAAAAATCTAGATCATGGATGAGGATAAATTGATAGGTTTGGAGATTATTTGAGATCTTCTTATGTGGCGGTGACATGGCAATAACAAGCCATAAAAAACCGTAAATTTGAGTATCATGAATGGAGATGTTCTTAGGGCGGGGACAAATGGGGGTACCCATTTTGGGTACCTATAGCAAAGCTCTATTATTGATCACTACATTAATTTTTCATACATTCTTGTGCGCTAGATGATTCATTTCCTCCAAAAGTAAGTAAAAAAAGGCATCAGAGTAAAGGGGAAGAGACGAAGAGTGGGATGAAGGTAAAAAACATATACTATCGTATTTCTTTGGGAGCTTTCCCAAAATAAGAGTAAATGGAGTTTGAAATTCTAAAATAGAACTACTATACTTTTATTCCCGAAATAGGACTAACATGATAGTGTTTACTGCCATCTTGTGGGTGTGACTTCCAAATAGTTGCAGTACAGTGCATTTAACATGGTAATATTTATTATAATTAATGACAGTATGTTTCAATTATGACAGTATTTTTAATACATAACAGTAACATCTCCTATTTCGGGAAGAAAAACATTGTAGTCATATTTTGAAATTTCAAACCTCATTTACTTGAATTACTTCTATTTAGGGCAATTTCTCTATTTTTTTTAAAGCATTGTATTTTTTTTGTATTTCAATTTTTACAAAAAATATATCAAAATTCATAACTTTTTAAGATCTTTCATATGACACCAATATTATATAGTTAAATTTTAAAAAGTTGAAGTTCCGATTGCTGGAGCTATTTAACAAAAAAGCACGACACAAAATTTGAATCCAGGGCACCTTCACAAATAAACAAACTTTAATCACCTGAACCCATTTTACTTGTTATCAACTGAAAAAAGTAAAAAAAAAAAAAAAAGAAAAATAACAACGATTTTATGTTTTTAACACCGAACACCAAAATGTGCAATTTTATTTCTAAATTAGTCAGAAAAGTATCCAAGAAAAATATTGTTTATAATAATTTAATTAATTTTTTACTAAATTGATATATAAAAAGATGCCGAATGAGTTTTATTGACGATACTGAAATGAAAGGAAAAACTGTATTAAGAAAAGTTTATACATTTGATAGCTTCCCAGTGAATCACTAGTTGTGTTGCTTAGAGAGCCAAAATATAGAAAGAGAGAGCTTGCAAATAATGAATTGTGAACCCTCTACAACTACCCTCAATAGGGATATTTATAGAGGATTGGGCTCCCAGGTCTTGGGTCTGGGAGGTCCGACTTCAGTGTTTAGACGGTGGGTAGTCATCATGAACTCATGAACAACAAAAGAACCATCGTCATCTATTTAACGAAATTGTTAAAGATATTTCCATGGGACATGTTCTATTACATAGAGTTCCTATACTCAACTGGCATACACGTCTTTGCTGCCACAACCAGTCATCCAGCAAAACTTGCATACCTGGATTTAACTAGAAAGGATGGTGATCAATCAATTTAATGGAATTGCACCGCGAGCATCTAAGGTGGGTGAAGAAGACTAATTAGGCTAGGATATACTCCCTCTCATTAGCTGAACGAAGAACACTACTAAAAAAAGGATGACACTCCATCCCTTAGAAAATGAGCCAACACTATTATGAATGTGAGCTGGGAGGATTAACCTCGGACGCAGACAGAAGATAACGAGAGGACTGACTCTTTTTGCTACATTGCCGCTTTGTTGGAACAAGCCTGGGTTCCTTCATCTCATCTTCACTACTACCCATTTCGCCAACATCGCTCTCATCTCCGCCATTGAACACTGGGTGGATGTATGCATTCTGGAGGTACTCTTTCAAGTTCAAGGTTGGTTCTTTTGTACGTTCCAGAGTATCTTTCATCTTCGCCTCCTGTATGCAAGTAAGAACAAAGGTTGTTTGTGATTCTACATTCTTGTCAAAAGCAAATTTGCACATTGATGAACTGTCTATTGGTTACGTTTGTGATGAATATATATACCTTATACCTACCTGTAATGGGTAAATGACGAAAGCTGGTTCATAACGGGCTTTGCAGAACAAATGAAACCATATGGTCAATATTGGAAGTGTAATAAGAAGTGGTGTTGAATGAGCAGCACTCTTTGTACTTAGCAGTCCCATTAGAAGCAGTTGTGAGACAATAAGAGCAGTCACTATGCGCCCATGCACACCAGGCCAGAATGCTGCTGCACTTTCATACTCTTGGTTGTACACATTGATTATCTGAATCAATTTACAACGTTGAAATATCTCAACCCAAATATTTTCCAAATGCAAACATGTACGGAGGCAGGTTGGAGTTTTTCCTCCAATATGACTAAAAAAAATAATGGATGATGTAAAATTGAAAATGATCATTACAACCACTGCAGAAATATCACTAATGCTTGTCGTGTACTAAGAAGCTGTTCCGTTCGTCTTAATCTTATTACTTATTCCTTAATCTTATTTTATTCAGATCAGATCAGATCAGATCAGAAAGATTCAGATCAGATCAGATCAGAAAGATTCAGATCAGATCAGATCAGATCAGAAACATTCAGATCAGATCAGAAAGATTCAGATCAGATCAGCAACATTCAGATCAGATCAGAAAGATTCAGATCAGATCAGACCAGATCAGAAACATTCAGATCAGATCAGAAACATTCAGATCAGATCAGGTCAAAAAATTCAAACATGATTTATCACTTTTATTATTATATTAATTATGATTATTATATTATAGTTATTGTTAATAATATTAATATATTAATATAATAATATTATTAATAATAATATAATAATAATGTTAATAATATAAAATTATTATTATATTATAATAATATAATATAATATAATATAATATAATATAATATAATATAATATAATATAATATAATATAATATAATATAATATAATATAATATAATATAATATAATATAATATAATATAATATAATATAATATAATATAATATAATATAATATATTTATAATTATAATTATAATTATGATTTACAATGTAATTATAATTATAATCATCATTATTATTAATATGATTGTTGTTCTTGTTGTTATTGTTGTAATTATTATTACTTCGGAGTAATTATATATTTAAATTAGTAATTATAGACATAATTATGACTATAGAAATAAATATTATAATTATAATTACAATAACAATAATTATAAAATTAATCATAATTAAAAATATAATTACATTTATAATTGTATCTGTATTAATAATTAGTGTAATTGGTATAATTATTATAATTTTAAATTTAATTTTAATTATTATTTTTTTATAATTATGATTATAATTGTAATTTTATTTAAGTTATAATTTTTAATTACAATTATAAATCTAATAATTATAATTGTAATTACAATTACAATTATAGAAATATTCAAATCAGATCAGAAAGATTCAGATCAGAAGAATTCAGATCAGATCAGAAACATTCAGATCAGATCGGAAACATTCAGATCAGATCAGATCAGATCAGCAACATTCAGATCAGTTCAGCAACATTCAGATCAGATCAGAAAGATTCAGATCAGATCAGAAAGATTCAGATCAGATCAGATCAGATCAGAAAGATTCAGATCAGATCAGATCAGATCAGAAAAATTCAGATCAGATCAGATCAGAACTTAAAAAATTCAGATCAGAAACATTCAGATCAGGTGAACGGAACAGCTTCTAAGTCAGAACTTTGTTCATTATTTTTATTTAGACTATATATTTTTCCTTATTTATAATAATTTTTGAACTACAAGTATTACCTGATGGCGATATACGACGTATGCTAGGCTGAAAAATACTATAATGAAAGGAAGCAAAATAGGAGACACAACAGCATAAACAAGGCCAAGAAGGAAGTAAAGCTGGATTTGTGGCTCGCCGGTGTTGAAACCTAGACTCCCAGGATCCATTGCTTCTTGTCTATCCTTTTCAGTCTTCACCAATAAGAAATTCTTCAAATGATATATGATTAGAGGCTTCAACCTCAGAATCTCCCCAGCAACTCCTGCCCATCCATCCACCATTACGTATGTTATGAAGAAGGTTGCCTTCATTGGGATGGATGCACCAACTGTCTTTGGGATTCTGTGGCAAAGAAACTCTACATAGTCAGACAAATAGAAGAAGACAAGTTAATCCTCAATGCGGCTATTGAAGTTGTAATTAGAACAATTAGCAATATCAATTGTGTTTAGTAACAACGGAGTGTGTGGAACAACTATAAAAAAATTGCAGATATTTGCTTTAAGAAAAGTTGAAAGTAGTGTTCTCAAACAAGTGCTCCTACTTAAAGTTAAGCAGTTAAAAGCATAAAGGCTAAAACTGTTTTTCACTTTTCCATTACACAAAAAAGTACTTTCATCAAACACTAACTTTTATGGAGTATGTTTTTAAATCGCTTTTCTTTTCAAACCCTATCAACTTTTATAATTTTTCATGAATGTCTAAAATAGGCCACTCCTCAAAGGCAAAAGCAAACACTATAAGTAGATAGGGAACCTATATGAGTCATAAGACACATTCAGTCTATATTAAAGTAAATCATAATCTTATTAGAAAAGAGAATAACAATATGATAAGAATATTACTAAATACACAATATTACTAATATAACAATAATATTCCTAATAAGAGCAAGTGTGAAAACCCAATACATACTCATTTGCAGATTGATGGATAAAGTTGTTTAGTTGTTGAAAAGCAGTCCCTGTTATGATGCTTCCAAGAAACACATTGATGAACTGAAAAATATAATATCGTGTTGCAGATCTCCTCTCTAGGGATGATATGGATATGAATCCTTCAAATTTTGACATTAACATTAATATTGATGGTAAAAAGATGAGAAAAATCTTTAAAGCGATGCCGGGAAGAAATCCCTGGATGAAAGACTTCACAGCCTTCCTGCAGAAGGATGGAGTAATGAGAAACATGTTAGTCTAAAATACCTTTACATAAGGTTTTTAAGTAAAGGAATAAAATGATAGGTATAAGCACAAATGAAGAGACAGTATTGTTGAGTATCCCACATTAGTTGACTATGGTGTTTAATCTAATAACCTAACCTCCTAAAGTGGTTTGTGAGGAGCCCACCCGCTGATGGTTTGGAACAGTCAGTTTGAGGGATAGGTGTGTCCTATTTATTTATATCTTCACTTAATGTACACTCCAGTGGAGTTTTACATCCAACTATTTTTGTAATTTTTTTTTTATAATTGCTCATCTTGCATCCTAAAAATGCTCATATCATCGTGCTCAAAATATTTTTTGTCTTATACACTTTTCATTTTGTAAACAATGTTCATCCGAATATAACGAAAAACTCATTTTGCATCTAAAGAATGACCATATGACATACAGTATGTCATATACTATGTGCATAATACATTAGATGTACTGGGTTATTCTTTGGCATAGAAATCTGAGTGATCATCTGGGGTAAGTAGGTTGAATTCCCTCAATGTTAGGTAAGTCATGACAACTGGAAAATGATGAAGAGGGAGGGGTACTTACGTTTCAATTATGCCCTTAAGGAAGGGAAAAGCTTTTTCAATTCCCTCAATGTTAGCAAGAGACTGCACAAATGCAATTGGGATCATGAAGAAAAAAGTGAGGAAGAAGAATGCCACGGCAACTATGAGCCTTCTGATTGTAAGTGAAACATATGGAATCGCCAGATTGTCCCAGTAGACATCACGAGGCTCCGGAGCCCACTCAGTCAACCAGTTGGTTGGGTTTCTAGTCTGTTGAGTTTGTGCACAAACTGCAGCTGCCCATCTTGTCTTGAAGGAAACAAATGCAGCTGGAACAATATACTTGTTATTCCCTATAATGTTCATTCTCTCTGTACAAATCTGACATTGATCATTAAGAGTCATAAAGTTATTACTAAATAAAAATCCACAAGCAGAAGATTATTGCTGGTAAAGTTTTCCAAGAAAACAAAATAAAAAATATATTTTGGAGTAAAATCCTAGGAAATGATATCAGCTTTCAACAGTGATTTTCAAGAAATTATGATATTTGGGTATAGCAGCACCAATATGTGCTGATAAACATAAAGAAATAATGACAAATATATGACAAATAAAAAAGGGGACCAAAATCTGACTTCAAATGAGCAGTGTAGATTATTTTGTACTTTGGTGGTGACTAGGGTGACATTCATTTTACGTTGGAGTGACTATAATGAACTATGCTGACAGTTTTGTCCATGAATTTTATTTTAGTTTATTATAGGAAAAAGCCCAAACATAAAACAAAGGTGGGGTGGGGCTACCGACCTCCTTTGAAAGTCTTTCAACTTCAGAACTATAGAAATCAATTGCATCCACACTCTTACCACAGCAGCCAAGAAGACCACCCTGTTTTTAATGACAAACATGTCCCAAGCAAGTTGTTAGTAATTTTAAATGAGAAACAGGCATTTGAGCTGCATAAACACTACTATATCATCAACTATAAAGAGAAGGCCAGAAGGTCTTACTAACTGCAAATATATATTACCTTTGTTCTTGGCCTTTGAGACTGCTTTCTTGCGTGCTTTAGTTGATAGTAATCAAGCCAATTTTGTTTTTTCTTCTTTTCATTAACAAGTTCTGACAGTTTGTTTGCATTGTATACGACCTGATGAGTGAGATAGTAGTCTGGATGGTTGACCATAAAAAAGTGCTCCACAAGCTCATTAACTGATTCATCAGGATCTGGTGGGACATTCCTCACTAGAACCTGAAGCAAATAGAAAAGTTTCACTTGTTAACATGCATGAATTAAACTATAGAATCATGTTAGTGTGATCACATCAAACAGAAAGAGTGTATGACCTCAAGGGTCCGTTTGTGTGAAGGTTTTGTGATGGATTGGGAAATAGAAAGAATGTTTCTATACACAAAAGATTATTGATCACATATTGGGTCATTTTTTCTATTCAAAATAATCTCGAATACGAAGTCATCATCATTTTCATTTACCCAGTGCCGCAAAGGCTCCCCACCTATGGTGGGGTAAGGGGGGGTCGGATGTACACAGTCTTACCCCTGTACCAAAGCACAAAGAGACTGTTTCCGGATGACCCGTAGTGAAAATCGCGTCCAAAATTGCATGGACTGGCTGCTGCTTCATAACAAAGAGGCGCAGACAGTTTAGTGAGCCATTTTGCTTTATTCCATCATATTCTCAAGCCAAAAAATAATAAATCTTTGGCTCCATTGCAAATGATGGAAAAATATCGAATACGAAGTATATATCAAATATATACTAAGCCCACAGAAGACATTCGAAAACTCGGATAGGGAAGAGATTTTGACTATCAAATTAGCCTAAGAAATGCAAATAGCCATCATGTTGATAAACCGTATACACATATAAAAGGTTTTAGTTCAGAAAAACAGAAACTTGATGTGCGTGTGTATGTCTATGTGTACGCGTGTGTGTTCCCTTACACTAAACTGTTCAGGGCGACGATGCTGTGATGCGAGAAAGTGTAGCCTCATGGATGCAATAATCTCATACTCTCTCTTTAACACATAACATGTCCAGAAGGTGAAAAAGTAAGCCATTACCAGGTGAGTCCAGAATCTGCAAGAATTGACTGAATTGTCAATGTCAAGTGAGCCATAATGTAAGAATCATAACACAACACAAACCTATAAAAGATATATTTACATGCATAAAAGACATGTACTCTCTCTGTCCAAAGTGTTGTTTTGCTTGCTTTGTAAAGTTATATCAATAGTCTGGAAATACAACAAAGTGCCTAATGGTGTATAGTGTATACCCATTAATCATGGGCAAAGGCATTGAAATGAAATTAGCTATACAATTTAATTGGGGGGAAGCAAGTGCTGAGACTGAATAATTAATCACAAACCAAAATGTAAGGTTTTGAGTTACTCTGCATACCAAAAGGTGATCAAATGGAGTAAATCTTAGTTACAAGAATGTAATAGTGATGTAATAGTGAAAACCTCTGTGACCCCGTTGGTATATTTGATATTGAAAGCTTGTCTAGATCACTATAAGTCAAATTAGATTCCTCCAAGGTGCGATTCGTCCAATTAACTGGAACCATGACGGTAAAAGCGATGATAGCAACCGGAACGAATATTTTAAGCCTGCACCATATACATAAAGAAACTAAAGAAAAAAATACAACAAATTTTTCCCAAAAACATTATCCCCTGCCTAAACATGTAACTCATAAAGAAACATAGAAACCAATTTGCTCTATGAGCATACATAAACATTTATCCATAAATACTTTCAAGGCAAATACCCTGTCAAGTAAATCCTCAAGTAAACTACAGAATCTAAGCCTGCATGATCGATAAGCTCAGCTTGGGGCATTTGCAGAGCAGCAGGCATCCAGTCAAGAAATCTCAAGTAGGAATGGAAGTCCAAGTTGACGAATCGGTGTACTATTGTCCCAGAGTGTAGTGGACTATTCCTGACCCCCTTTAGATACCATTTTGGGAAGTATACCCGATCATTAACAGGTTGCAGCCTAAGGATGGCAAATGCAACCAAGAAGGCAAATGCACTGAGGATGTTAATTGCAGCTGCCACACCTATATCACTAAGCGTTGCCATATGTCTGCATCAAAGAACCAAGTAGTATTTTCCTGCAGTATAGAAAAACTTGTTAAAACAGTATACTTGAAATGTAATCTTTTTTTCCTTTCAAGATTGGTATTCCCAATCCCAGTATGACTACCGCAGAATCACAGTAATTAACAGTTTTACCCCAAAACCGCAATTCAAGAGAACATAAAAAGGCCATTTGATGGAAATGAGTGTACTGTTATAAAAGTAGTTTCCCTGGGGTCATCCCAAAAGATGATTTTTAGGACCTCTGAAGGAATGAAAATGGCCATATCGACCCCAAACCATGGATTAGATCAGACTCCAATCCATATCAAATTGGCCAGTCCACCCTAAAGTCTCCTCCCCTTGTACACTACTGAGACACTTAAAACTTGCAACAAAAGCAATGCAATTCCATGCAGCAGTGTATAGCAGCACCAAAGAACAGTGTGTAAAGACAAATTTCCACATCAAAGGAATAATATTAGTAATTGCTTCTACTTCAAGAAGAAATTCCCAAACTTTCCAGTGTTCAAAATACATGATTAACACACACTGAGACACATTTATAATCTAGCACCTGCTGAATGTGTGGAGAGCAAAACGGCAGCGAGTACAGATTCTTCTCAGTGATGGAGGAACACAGAATGATCAGGAAAGAGCTTAGGAAATAAAATAAATAAATAAAACGTCAGAGGGAACTGGAAATGGGGGACTGATTCGGTACAATGTATTGGATTTGTTCATTTTAATCATCTAAATTTGGGTTGGCTTTGGACTATATTCGTGTCTGGAAGTAATATAACCAATTTTTTATTCAAGAAAATTAATACTCCACGTAGTTATTCATCAATTGGAAAAGAGGGTCCGTTCTTTTTAATTTTTTTGCTTATGTAGTTATTCAAAAAAAGGAATTGGATGGAGTAGTTGATGTCGGGCAGATAATGCATGTTTAATTTTGGTTAGCGTAACGGCTACTTTATGACTTCAACGGAAGTCATCTCCTCGTGAGCACCGGGAATTCCTGAATACACGGTAGTAATGTCGTTGAAATGAAATCATAACCGCGGAGTTTAATGTGATACATTCAAAGAACATGGGCTTAATTTAGTGCTAAATGAATCAAAATTACTCCGTATTTTCTAATTAATAAATAGTTACCTTCTTGGCTTCTTAAGATTTCTAAATTCTGCTTGGAAAAAAAAAAGATATTTGAATTGTGCAGTCACATGATAAACTTTTTAATGTGCAACCTTTTGAGTTTTGATGTACCTTGAAAGAGTGAGGCCATATCGAGACTCAAATACATGCCACACAAATACTTCGTACCTCGTATTTCTAAATAAAGCTTACTATCTATTACTTAAACATCATACAAATTAAATTTATTGAAAAAAATATGACTAAGGTTATTTATGGGTTTTAGTAATAAAAAAAAGTTATTTATGGGGTTTCCTTAAATATTACCGATAAAATGACATGAACAAATGCGTGACTTAGTAACTATTAGTGATTATAATTGTGTTCAAAATTTAAATCACAGTAACTTACATTTAGTTACATGAGAATAGTTCATGTTCGGAATTCCGGACAGGAACCGCCATCCGGATGGCGGCGTTTGGCCGCCTTCCCGGAGGAATTTTTTGATACAATTTTTATGTCATGTTCTCCATCAAGTTTAGTTTATCCACAAAAACTTTCAACTAAAAAACCAATCAAGAAGGTTGTCAAATATATTTGGAAGATAACCTCGTTTTATATGTATATTTTGGGCACAGTTATCTTCTAAAAATAATTTGACGACCTTCATGAATAATTTTTAGCTGATTTTTTTGTGTGAATAAACTAAACTTGATGGAGAACATGTCATAAAATTTTCATTAAGGAATTCCTCCGGGAAGGGCCCCAAATGCCCGCCGTCCAGATGGCGGTTCTGGTCAGAAATTCCTGACGGGGAAGAGTACTCTTAATTACATTTACATTTAATTACAATATGTATTTACGACTACTATAATATCTGATTTAAAAGAAAAATCCACAACCAATGTGGTGTATAGAGAAGTTTTTCAAAATATAGTAACTTTTAATTCATTTCTTTTATATTTTATATATACACAATATTCAAGGAAATTTTATGTCTAAACTTCTCATTGCTCTAAAACTAATATTTAAACATATATTACAGGACTGATGCAATTCTAAAACTAATAGTGAGGACAACTCTATCTGGTACATACATGTAACTTCAAGCGCATATGAGAAAGAAATTTTTGGTTTCAATTATCTGTTGTCACTAATTATATTGAAGTTAAAATCTACTTACTTAAAATGTCACAAACTAATAATTAGATTATAAAGAAGTATAATGTTGTAAAGAGAGAGTTGCATCATGGTCGATCTGCATTCTCAATTGAAATTTAGGATGCACATGATTGTGGATGACCTATCAGATATGTGTTTGAACATTGTATATGATAAAGTCTATAATTATGTGGTACATTATAATTACTCGTGTGAGGCGTCAAACACACACAAATGAGGGAGGGTGACCGTTTAAATCTTCCTAACGAAACTACGGTAAACCTATACTTCAATTTTGCTTAAAAATGAATCTAATAATCTCAATTTCTTCATCTATTAAAATCAAGTATTACTTTTATGACACGTCAAAAATTGGATTGAATATCAATAACTTTATTAATTAATATGTCTTAATAAATTTGTGTTGTTGAGAATGTGAATTTGTCTATATCAAAGTGATTATAAGGAAAAACCTTTCAAATATATATATGTGGACAAAAATGTAAATAAATTGGATCTTGAATATCTAAATATCAAAGAATAAAAGAAAGAAGAAATAATTACATAAATATGATCAAAATAAAGATGGTTTACAAAAATATGACTAGTTACTAGAGTAGTATGAAATCATAGTAATTCATGTTCATATTTTGAACTTAAGTTACTACGTTGTAGTAATGAATAATTATATTTATGTAAATAAGTTTTATTTTAGTAATATTCTTGTAAAAACTCATAAAAGAATCAAATTGCATTGAATTAATCAATACCTTGACCAAAATCAAATGATGTAGTGCTTTCATCAGTATAAGGCGAGTCTTCGTTAGAACTTGAGTTAGCATCAAGAGCTAATTTGATATGTGTATTAAATCATTTTCAGTGTCGATCCTACCTAAACTCGGGCCTGAGTCGAGCTTCATAAATGGGTCCTATACATAGTGTTTCTTTTTCATATAGGTTTCATTAAAATTCAATGATTAAATATCACAAAACGCAATTCTTAAATTATTAAACTCTTACATTATAGCAAAATGACATTAAATGTATTAATAAACTAATTAAGTACAACTCGTCGAACATTTTTTATGCAAATGTATTAATCAAGTCCGCATAATCTATGTTATCAATGAATTTCTTCTCAATTGATCATATAGCTAATTCATTCAATCTTTTTTGAGACATGGTTGAAGATGTACTCTCCGAAATGGTTCTTTTATTTTATTTGAAATCAAGTACTACGTACTACGTACTTATCAATGTTTCCGGCTTGACTTTGTGTTAATGATTCAATATGTGATTTTCTTTTACTCTTGAAATCGAGACAATGATTTGGGAGGCAAGGTAATAAAAAATGCATAATTTAGTGGAATCCCTAACAATATATATGTGTAATTATAACTTTCTCTATAAAATACAAAACATTTAATTTAATGAATTGTGAATTGATAATTTCATAATTGCAATATTGATAACACTAAATAAATAAAAAAACAAGCAAGAACCAACTAGTATTTACAAGTTTACAAATTCGCCCATTTAGCATTTACACATGACAAATTAATTATACATTACATTAGCATTTAGCAAATCAATATAAAATAGAAAATTTCTGAAAACAAACACAAATAACTAAATAAGCAAATTAAAAAAAACATAGACTAATAGAATTAATTATAAAACCTGGAACTTAGAAGCCTAGAAATAGAAGTCCAACAGTCCAAGAGGAAAAATAAAAAATAACTAGAAAATACATATGTATAGTACTTATATATATATATATATATATATATATATATATATAATTTTTGGGCCCCTGATTTTTACAATTTTTTGGGGCCCTGAGGCCCACGCCTCTCCAGCCTTACATAAGGCACGACTCTGATCATTTTAGTGTTAGCAATTTGATGATAAAAGGTTTATTCATACATTCAAATTGATCAATATCACTATCAAGTTGAATTTGTTCAGGTATGCTCACACCATGACTTGATTTGAAAAAGTTGACTTTGAAAAAGTTAACATTCATAAAAATTTAAAATAAAGATAAATATCGTATGATGGAGATGACAAAAAATTAATTATAAATTATCATAATTATTTACTTCTTTAATGGACAAAGTGACGTTTAAAACCATGGACCTATTTTATATTGACAATACCAACATATATTGGACATATGCTCGAGGAAGCGATGTAGCTCAGCTAGTCGCCGACTCACTCTCCCTTATGGGAGGTTCCGGGTTCGAAACTCAATAGAGTGAGTTTTAACGCTATTTATCAGGCCTCCACCCCCTCACCCAGACGCCCTCTGAAGTAAAAATATATATATTGGACGTATGCTTTATTTAGAATGTTGTTTGAGTCTCTTTGGTAACATAGAAATTACTTGAATCTTCGTAATTGACAAGAATCTGGCTGAATTTACTGAGTTATAGAAAAATTTTATTTTGAAAATATATTTTATTAATAACATAAAGAAACAAAATTATATGAAGAAGTAGGTCAAATAGTCTTTTACAATAACTTCAATCAATTCGACCAGAAAAGTGGTTATGAGTACACTTTCATAATCACTTTAATATAATTTTAAACGTAATTATAGTTACTAAAAATTAATGAGTCATATTTTTATTCATTAGACTTGTTTTAGTCATATATTAGGAATTATTTATTTAATACGTTATAATCTAAATCGAGGTTTGAAAATAGGATAATAATTTAATAAACCTTCAATTTCTCTTAACTTTTATATAAGCAATATTGATGACATATGATAAAAAAATTATTAATTTTGATATATTTTTAAGGAAAAATGGATAGTTATAATCCCAACTATTGACGGTCAATCTCATCTATCAATTATTTCATAATAATCCCAACTTTAGGGACCTTCCGCCAATAATGGTCCGACGTGACCGGCTATAAATAAATTCCTATAGTTTCTAAAGTGGATGAGAAGAGATATAACAGATAATTCTTATAAATAATCCCAACTTTTAATTTTTACTCTTAATTTCTATTTAAAGTTCACATTTTATAATAGGTAATATCTGGTCATGATCATTGTTGACGAAAGGTCCATATAATTGGGAGTATACAAAAATAGTTGTGATTATTGTTAGCGGATGAGCAATAGTTGAGATTATTATTTTCAATTTTTCCTATTTTTAATGGAATTTAGAGTAAAAAATGAAAAAAGTTATAATGCATACGTTCCTTTGCTTGGTGTGGTTCATATTAGTCCTTCAATTGGCCACATGTCATTTTTACAGTAAAGGAGTAAACTGTGGGGAAGTTTTTAGTAATAGAAGTAATATAGGGATATTTATGTACTTTATATTAAACCCTTCTATTGTAAATATATCAGCTAGGGCTCCTTAGAGAGTATCATGTTCCATTATTCTCACATGGTATCAAGAGCACTCTAAAAACAAAAACAAAAAATCGGTCCTCTCTCTAAACCCTCGGCGCCGCAGCAACCCTAGGGCCGCCGCCTTCTTCCTCGGTTTTCTCCATCACACTGCAGCATGACCTCCTCGGGCTCCATCTCTTCCGCAGCC